AGGGACACAGCTGTGACAAAGCTGTCATGAGTACAAGTGCCTGGCATATGAGGAATATTTCACCTTGCTTCCTGATAGACTCACAGCATCATGTTACAATGCCTTTCATTTATATAAAAAATTGCCTATAAATCAGTACGTTGTAGGGTCGAGTTGTTGCTGGAACTGGCTATAAAGATCATGCATATTTCTCATACATTTTTCCTCCCTTTTCTAGCGTTGTTGGACTAAGCTTTGACTTTCTAGCATTAAACCTTACTGGCTTTATAGCATACAGTGTATTTAATGTTGGACTCTTCTGGATACCCTTAATTAAAGTAAGCATAATTATCTCTTAATACTTGCCAGGGGTTGGGTATCTGTAGAAGGGAATTAAGGTATTTAGTTGCTTTTGGTTTCCCTTACCTTTAGGAGGAATTCTTAGTCAGTTATCCCAGTGGGGTGAACCCTGTGGCTATCAATGATGTTTTCTTCAGTCTCCACGCAGTAGTCCTAACTCTCCTCACCGTTATGCAGTGCTGCATCTACGAAGTAAGTGTCAACACTGGGCTCTGCCAGAGCTCCCTCTGCCGGGCACCTCACCACTCACCGTCTGCTCCTTTTGGGCTCCGAAGTTCTATTCGTTGCACTTTCTCTGGCCTTTCAAGAAGTCAGGCTTCACAATCCATCTGCCTTTACCTTTCCTGAGCGAGGAGCAATTTCAGGAAGCTTAGCTACTTCAGCCTCGGGATGTTGTGAGCTCCAGCTCCTTAGGTACTCAAAATAACTGAGGCAAACAGCCAAGTTCATAAAGTTCCCTAACAGATCTCTAGCCAGCAATAGATTACAGTTCTACACAGAACAAATGCTGCTTTGTGCTTTTCTGTTTCCTCACTACATGGACCATTCTTCAAGGTATGTCCTTTGGGATTCCCTGCAATTCATCCAGCTTGTTTTGTTTTTTTTTCTCTCAACTTCCTTTCTCCTAAAACAGTTGCAAAGATCCTTTTATAATTCCCACCGTTTTCAGGTGAGACTGCTTATTGTAGTCAGGTGTTTCTTTAATTCCCATTGATTGTTATACTTGGGTGGTCTTTATTTAATTCCTGTTGTAAAAGTCTTTGATGTGAACAGCTAATTTTCTCTAGCTGATAAGTTTCTCTCTTGGTACTTCCTTTGGTAATCCTAAGCCTAAAAGTCTAACAGCCTGTGTGTCACCACTGCTAGGTGCAATAGTCTTTTCTAGTCAAGAATTAGAAGGCAATCATGAATGAATCGTTTAGCATAATGGCATTAGCAGCCTTTTTCATATGTAGGAGCTCTTGATAGCATCACACTGAATGCAGGAGACTGTTCCAGATGTGGCACTGATAATAGGCATCATAAATACTCAAGAATACTGCCACATAGTGTATTTCACTTCATGGACAGCAGTGTTCCAAATGATTGATGTTGAATATTGCTCATCAGCTCTTGCAAACCTGTAGCTTGTTGCTGTAGCACTCACTTAAAATTCCCTTGTGGTATGATCCTAACTCATACAAGAATAGCTTTGGACTGTAACTTTGCATAGTCATGTATATTCTGTATCTTACAGTGTGTCTGGGGATGTATGGTTAGGCTGGTCTAAGTGTATCTGCATTTCTGTTTCAGAGAGCAGCTCAGAAAGTATCTAAAGTTGTTGTTGGGCTACTGGCACTTGCATGGATCTTCACGTTTACGACACTGTTTCTTGCTGCAGCTGAGGAAATGACATGGCTACAGTTCTTATTCTGCTTCTCTTACATTAAGTTAGCAGTCACACTGATAAAATATTTTCCACAGGTAAATCTGAACTTTTCTGCTTTTCTACTACATTTCTCTCACCCTAGCTTGTCATGTGTGCTCTTGAAAGTCTGACTAAACCAGCAGTGATTATTTATTAAGTCTTCTAGTGACAAAGCCAGAGTAGTTACACAGAAGGCTTCTTAAACGTTAGTCTCAGAAATCTTGTACGTGATGTGCTGACCAGCTTTGTGTTGCGCTCTCAGGCATACATGAATTACTGTCGGAAAAGTACAGAGGGATGGAGTATTGGAAATGTATTGCTTGACTTTGCTGGTGGAAGCTTCAGTCTTCTCCAGATGTTTTTGCAGTCATACAACAATGGTAAGGTTAGAACTGAAGTGGTGGGGCCTTTCTTAACAGGTTGGGAGAAGCCTGCTACAAAGCAGGTATTAAACCAGTAGGTCATTTTGGGAGAATGATGTTTGTGCTATAGTATGGGTAGATGTTCTTATATAAGAATAAAGAATCTCTTCCTTGAAAACAGAAAATGAAATAGCTATTTTGTAGAAACCATATGAACAGCTATTAATTAGCTTTGCATAAGATGTGCACTACAGTTAGTTTTAAGGTGTATCTAAGCAGTGCAGGTAATAAACATGAACTTCTCTAATATGCATGACATAACCTTGTAGTCATGAGACAACACTACACTTGAGGAGTTAGTTTTAACTTTCTAATTTGGTGTTTGACAGATCAGTGGAAGTTAATATTTGGAGATCCAACCAAGTTTGGCCTGGGTGTCTTCTCCATCATCTTTGATATTGTTTTTATGGCCCAACACTACTGCCTTTATAGGAGACAAGGGTATGAACCTTGTGAATAACATCACTTCTGAAGACAAAAACTTTAAGTTGAACTTGCTCTACCCTGGCTGAGGGCTTTCAAGATGCCTACTGACAGTTCTTATGTGTTTGTACTTTGATCCTCTCGGGTGTGGAATACAAACTGTTGCCTTGCAAAATGCCAGATGCCTTAAAGGACAGCAAGCTATCTTGACACTGCTTGCAAATGGAAGACTCATGCCTGTTGAAGCTGCAAAGGCAGCTTAGTGTGAGCTGTCCAAGCAACATATGGCTCTTTTCCCATTAGCAACAAGGAAAAGAAAGACCAGAGTGATGTCTGATTGGAAGTAATGCACAAAGAGCCACAATCTAGCTCCCAAACATCTGAGATAATGTTTAAGCAACCACTTAGTATCTTAATGTAATGACTAAAGACTGTGGATGTAAGTGCTGCTGCTGCCGCCTCCTCATGGACTGATCACCACCACTCAGGTTGGTTGTTAACAGCTGTAGTGGTACATAAAAGAATGAGGTTGGTAATTCAGGTTCTAGTATTTGTGTATTTGTAATATCTTCTATTAAAAATACGGAGAAGCAGAAATTGTATTCTTATTTCACTGAAAGCTCTCTCAAAGGTGCTAAATAACTAGTGTACTTACTTCATTTTCCTGAGTTCTACTGCTATACCTTGAATCCTAAATGGTTAAAGAGTTTGCTAAGTCTTTAATAAGTGGATCATGTTAACAGCCCCATAATTAAATACATGTTTTGTTCCTGGGCAACTTTCCAACTACATGTGCTGTGATCAAGGTCTTAAGTTACATTTAAGCATTATACCCTTTAAAAGGACTAGAAGGGAATCCATGCATTTGTACTTTGAACAGTATTTAAAAGCTCAAATGCTAATGTGTCTTATGAGGTGTCAACCTAAGGAAGACTGGGACACTTCTCTCCCCTGCTGGAGTCCCAGTGAGGTATGACAGATCACTAACACTGCAAACATCCACCAGTGAAATCAGACATTACTAACTTCAGACTGCATTGTGCTGATGTAGTCCACAATTCACTCCGAGCCAGAAAAAAGGTCTCAGCTGGGGCATTCAAGAGATGTGGCATTCTTAAAATGTAAGGACAAACACCTTTGTTTTATTGTGTGTAAAATCAAAGTGAAGTAGCAGTACAAATAGCAGTGTATCTTTATAGTAAAAAAAAATAACTTTCAAGTTGGAAGCCTTAAAATTTACCATTGAATTATTAACTTACAAAATTCAAAAGCAGTATTGTAGTAATTCCATAGATATAAAAATGGTAAATAGGCATCTGCTGGTGTGTACAGAATAGTCTGAGATGCATTAATCAACATATGCATGTGGCACAGCAGTAATAAGTTAGTCTGCCACCTCCTCATGTTCTATTTACAACAGCTTACCTGAAGACTGCTTAAGTATAGGTATGTATAAATCAACTGAAGGGGATTAAGAACTCCAGTTTTTGATAACTGTAAAGGTAGCTGGTTAACAAACCACCAGGATGCTAGAAAATTATCTCAGTGTTGCAGCAGGAGCCTTAAATCCTGTGGCATGTTGATTTAAACTGAGTATCTTACCAGAAGCTTAAATTTGGTCAGGAGGCACTTTTGCATGTTATTGGTATATTAATCTCTTCCATCCAATAAATCAGTGATTTAAGAAAAGTCTTCTAGAAGACAGACCAAAATCCACCCCTCCCATTTCAAGTCCGATAAACGTGGAATGAAGAACTGAGGACTCTTAATACAACAAGCAGCTCTTTCAGTAAGTTCAGCAACAGTTTCTTCTTTCCTGCTCCATATTCCTTTCATTTAAACTTGATTCATTTCATGTTACAAATTACTTGGGAACAAGGAGAATTAAGTTTTTATGCTGACAGTGAAGTTGAACTGTAGTGTCTATGAACTTGTAGTGTCCTTCACAGGCATTACACATGAACTTGTAGTGTCCTTCACAGGCATCTGACATTCCTGTGTAACTTAGCTGTTTCTTATCTGAAGAGGCTGCTTTGTGCAGGGAAATCTACAGTAAACCATAATGCCCCAAACCCTTTGGCATGCTTTGCCTAGCTAGCACACAGAGTGGGATTAGTACAGTGCTCCTCCCCACAGCAGTGAGCAACTCTTAATTCTGGCATTTTAGTTTGATAGCGCAGAGGGGACAGGACAGCTCACTTCCAAAAGCTTAAGCACAGCAAACCCTCTTCCATAGCAGAAGCCACACTTCCTCTTAAAATAGGAATCATTTGTGCTACAAAAGAATCCTTTTGGAGTTAAGGCTTTTCCAGTTGCTTCCTTAGATAAGTAGGGTTTGTCCCTGTCCTCCTACAAGCCACAACTACAGTAAAGTCTTAACCATGTACCTGCAGGGAAGACTTTTAGAGAAGCACTCTGCTGAAGGGACCAGAATTCTACTACTGCCAGTTACATCAGAAGAAGGAAAAATAAAAATCAAAATCATGTTTACCACAGTTAGGAACATGCTCCCCTTCCAGCCAACCCGTTCCAGCCTAGGATTTGCTTCCTTGCTTGACCATCAGTCTATATATCTCCCTCCCCAACCCTTCCCCAACTCGGTAACTGATTAGGACATCAAGGATTGTTGCACAGCCTTCTGCAGAGATTGCCTGGTCACCAGCAGCCGTACGACTTCTTCATTCCTTTTTGTCAGCCTCTTCCTTGCTTGGTCATGGGTCACCATTGTCATATCCCAGCCATTCACCTGGGAAAAACACCTAAAATGAGGCATGTGTGTGGACTCACAGGTGTCCTGTAACTGTTCAATAGAGCTGTGTAGTAGATATACTTGTGCCATTCATCAGCTTATTTATAAGCCCCACAAACCATCCTGGAAAGCACCCAGAAGACAGCATTTCCCCCAGAAGACACTTCCCTGCAGCACACACCTAATGCTGTGTTAGTACTTGTCTCATGATGGTGTTTACCTGCATGATCTTATCTCCAATCTGGAGTCCTGCAACTTCTGCTGGGCCTCCTTCTGTTACCCTTGTTACATAGATACCCTAGGAAAAAAATAGTAAGTGTTCACTTACTAAATAAAGGACTATTAAATACTTAAGAGCCAATCAAAACCTGGAGAGGGGCTTTGGACAAGGGCCTGTAGGGACAAGACAAGGGGGAATGGCTTTAACCTGCCAGAGGGGAGACTGAGCTGAGCTCTTAGGCAGAAGCTCTTCCCTGTGAGGGTGCTGAGACGCTGGCACAGGGTGCCCAGAGAAGCTGTGGCTGCCCCATCCCTGGCAGTGTTCAAGGCCAGGTTGGACACAGGGGCTTGGAGCAAGCTGCTCTAGTGGAAGGGGTCCCTGCCTGTGGCAGGGGTTGGAACTGGATGAGCTTTAAGGTCCCTTCCAACCCACACCAGTCTGGGATTCTATGATTCTACAAAAACACTTTATTGTATGTTACAGGCTCTAGTTAAAAGCAGGTTTGTTCAGTGCTGGAAAACAGAAGAGGTGGAGAGCTAACAAACCAAATCTAGTCTGCAAATGATAACATAGCAGAGAAGTAACTTTAATAGCCAGCTATGTGAGAGGACAGAATACAGACACCAGTTGAATTAGCTGGCCGAGTTGAACATACTCGGCCTTTTGCAGATAGTGGCTATGTAAAATGAAGAGCATCTGACCTTGTCGGTCTTGTCTTCGGAGAAAGGATTCTGAGTAGGATCCTGATCAATGCCACCTCCAATGCTGAACCCCAAAATCAAATTGTCACCTTGACGAAGCTTATGTATTTCAATTCTTTGCTGTAAAGAGAAAAATAGCTGAGTGTTGTGATGAAGAAGAAATCTTGCCAACAGCAGTTGGCTACAAGCTGTTCTCAGCCCTGCCACAGAACAGCAGGATGGGAAACCACTTGCAAACTCAGCTCAGTGGTGCTCCTGCCACCATACAGCCAAGCTCCTTAACTACTCCGAGCTCTAGATACAAGGGAAAACACTAGAAACAGAGCAGGTCTCTTGAACCATGAGTCATGCCTTGCCAACCAGCAGTCACTCACCGCAAGACTCATCTTGCTCTCTGCCCACGTCCCCATGTTCCTGCCCTATCAGTGAAACAACAACCTATTATTAGGACGGTTCTTTTTCAAGATAACTTATCGGCACACTTGTAACCCAGAGGCAGGTGTTCCTTGCTGTGTCTGATGATTGCAGGCATCTGACAAACTTCGTGCATTATCCAAGTACCATATAAGCAGGTATCCCTGGTCGCTGCAGGAGGAGGACTAGGTGACCTTCAGAGGTCCCTTCCTCCCCAAACCACCCTGGGATTGTTCTCCAGCAGCTCTCAGGCACCGAGCTGCCCAGGGCGTTGCGCTCAGGATCTCCGCCTCACCGGAGCGGTCTCCCCGCCCTCAGCCCAGCGGGGAGCGGTGCCGCACACACAGCTGCGGAGCCCCTTAATTAGAGCTCCACTTCTGACCCCGCCAAGACAAAGCGGGTGCTCATCCCGCCGCTGCCGGGCAACGGTTCTCCGCACACCGGGGAACTCGCCTCCCGGCTACTTCCTCCCCCTTCCGCCAAGCACCCCCGGGACAAGCGGCGGCTGCAGCCCGTCCCCGCAGCCGAGCGGGGCTCCTCCCCGCTTCCCCACTCAAGAGCGGAGGGGCCTGCGCGTGGCTCAAGTGACGATCCCTCTATAGGCACTATCAGCCTCCGCGGCAGGGAACGCAACCATGACCGGCAGCGCTGCAGCCCGCGCCCTCCGCCCCGCTGCCAGCCGCACCAGCACCCCCGCTCCGCTCAGCAGCCCCATCTCACCACCACAGCGGTGACCGGCTGCCCCGGCACGTACGACATGACCCCACCGCCACTGCCGCCGCCCGAACAAAAGCGCCTCGCCCGGCCCCGGCCCCCGCCGCCGCCAGCCAATCGGGTGCCGCCTCGCCCTCAGCGCAGGCGGGGGAGTCAGAAGTGAGGCCGCTTTCCCGCCGTCCCGCGCGCCCAAGATGCCTGACAGGGGCTTCCGGCGGGGCGGTGCGAGGCGCCGGGGTGGCGGTAGGTTGGGCCCGGTGCGGGGAGGAGGACGAGGCGGCGGGAGGTGGCCTCAGCCCTCGCGGTAACGGGCGGTGTGCGCTGTCCTTCCGCAGGGTACGAGGCGTGACGGCAGGGCCCGGCCGAGGGGTCCCGCGGAGCATTGCGCCGCCGTGGATGAGAGGTACTGAGGGGGGGAAGGCGGGCGGGCCCCGCGGTGCTGGGGGCCGGGGGGAGGTCTTCAGCGTCGGCGGCGGCTGTTGGGCCTCCACCGCACTGCGGAGCCGAGCGGGCTCAGCGGGGCGGTGCGCAGGCAGGGCGGCCCCCGCCCGGCCCGTACAGCGCGTGTCTCCTTCCCCCCCCAGAGCCGCTGGGCGAGAGGAGCTCCGGGAGCCATGGCCGCGGTGGTGGCCAAGCGCGAGGGGCCTCAGTTCATCAGTGAGGCGGCGGTGCGGGGGAACGCCGCCATCCTGGACTATTGCAGGACGTCTGTCTCGGCATTGTCGGGCGCCACGGCGGGGATCCTCGGCCTGACCGGCCTGCACGGCTTCATCTTCTACTTCCTGGCTTCCGTCCTCCTCTCCGTGCTCTTGGTGTTAAAAGCCGGGCGGCGATGGAACAAGTACTTTAAATCCCGAAGGCCACTTTTCACGGGGGGGCTTATAGGAGGGCTCTTCACATACGTCCTGTTCTGGACTTTCCTGTACGGCATGGTTCATGTCTACTAAACAGACCAGGAGCCACGTTAGCTGCAGTGGTTTTTACTCGAGCAGGAGGACTGTTGCCAGAGCTCACCTACACAACTAGGCCAGCTTACCTTTGAAACTGTTGTCCATCGCTTGCATTGTTAATACTGTCAGTAAATTATGTCCAAGTACAAATGAAGCGGTAGCACTGTTCTAATTAAACTGAATGTGAACCACTACTTGGATGCCTCCCATGAATGTTTGTTTGGTGGTTCTGTCCCTAATTGCAGGCACAGCCCTGGGTTTTGGTTCATGTAGTTCTCTGGTTTGGATAAGACACAACAGTAACACTCCCCTCTAGATTTGCTGCCTGCCTCTACACATAAAAAAAATTAAAGTCACATGTAACAGCACTTTTAAAAGTAATCCACTGACAGATATTGCACAGTAATTTGTAATTAAGTATGTGTAAAAGTTTGGTGCATGAGTCTATTTGAGCTGCCAGTGTCAATGTTATCTTCCCCAATTGCTACATGTACAAACCGTCAGTAAATGACACTGGTTTGGATGCTCTTAACTGCACACACAAAAGTCACTAAATAACATTCTCATGAGCCTTTGCTCCTTTTTAGTGCTGTTGTATTCAATGAAACAACCAAGTAAGAGCAGCATCTTGCTACCTGCCACCTCAGTCTGTACTGAACACATGCTGGCATTGAGCTGTTCTTTGTTCTGGTGCCTTACACCTAGCAGAAACAGAAAGGAAAAGTCTGTGACTGACCACACAGGTAATATCTTTACTGCAAATCTTCTTTTGCAAACTTAATGTTTAATTGCATTGGTTACACAAGTATGTATCACAAAGAGAAGGTGGTGTGTCCCACCTACAAACCACACTGTACAGAAGAGTCTTGCAGAGCATTGCCCAAAGTGGTGGATTTTACTGCTGTGCATTAAATACGGGGGGGGGAGTGGGGGTGTTGGGGAATCAAAGAAACAAACTCCTGAGAAAGAATCTGGTTATGTTTTATTAATAGCAGTGATTGTGGGAATTGTTTTAAACAAATGGTAGAAAGAAAGGAAATATTCTAGGGAATATGGTGGGGGCTGAAGACTTAAATTCAGGAAACAGCTTTGGTCACCTAATGAGGACGTTTTGTCCCGTTGGAACATTGGTGTCAGTAGAGCACAGTCAGCTTTACATGTTTTGATGAGCTACTCAGTTTCCCTGCTTTCCTCTCATTATCAGTCACTGCCTGCTGTTACCTGCTCTGTGCTCTAAATGCCAGCTCTTAGGTGACAGTGGAGGCAGCTGGGACCCTGCCATGGCTGAACTGACCCTCCTCCTGCTGTTCCTGAGCCCAGCACAGCTCCTTGCTGCAGCTGTTGGAAGGCTTTTCCTGGTGAAGTACCATTTCTAGCCCTAATGGTTACACACACCCTACAATAAAGGTGATCGCCCTGCCATGGCCCTTGTAGAATAACGTGCTCTTGGGCTCCGAGCGCTGCTGGAATTCTGCGTTTCTCTGTACTTCCGACAGGATGAGTCCTGCTGCTTCACATCTTCTCCTGTGTGTAACACAAGTGGGAGTTGGGAGGCAGGGGATGTGTTGTATCAGCTTCAGCCCTCGGAGAGCCAGTGGTGTTTCACATCCCAGCACATGGAAGCAAAGCACAGCCTCGGGATAATACTGACTGTTGCAGGTACAGATATATCTACCAGTAGATATGAAAATGTTCACTTGGTGCCTTCTTTTTCCTTTTATAAAATCCTTTTATAAATCCATAGAAATGGCACACTCGTGCAAGCTCAGGATACCAGAGAACATCTCAGGGAAAGAAGGGCAGTCTTTAAAGGACTTTTTTCCTCTGGGAATCCCAGTAATAAGACAGTAGACCTGATGTGGGGCATCTCCACCTCCCAGTGCTGGTGTGATTCAACACCTGTAGGGTTTTCCTGGCACACGAGCCCAGCCAGCAGACTCATCGCTGTGTCTAGAGCCCACCAACCTGGTCAGGGCTCTGATTCCCATTTAGCGTAGGACTAGATAAGGATTTCCTGGAAGTGGACCTGAGGAAACAAGCAAAGGGGACAGCCAAGGCAAACAGGCTGGTTTTGTTCAGGAAGCAACATGGGTAAGAGGTTCCCAGCCAGGCCTGTTATACCTCACCACACAGGCTATTATCTGCCATACACTTAATGCCCCATTCTTTGGTTTCATGAGGCTTTAGAGCTCTTGGAGCTGGTCCAGTTCCATCCTTGGTCATTGCAGACAGTGCAAGGCCATTAAGTCCAACCATGACACAACAGCTGCCTTTGCTCCCCAGCTAATGACAGCAGTGAATTACAGAGGGAGGGAGTCACTTGTCTAAACTCATTTAGAGGAATATAATTTCCTGCAATTAGCCTGTGTTTGCCATCAATGTTTACTGTGTTCCAGTATCTCCTATTTCTAGGAGTCATAACAATAAAGCCATTACATTTATACACAAAGCCAAGCCCACTTACTTTACTTCCTCGTACTTTTTGCCTCGATAGAAGTTACTCTTTTTAATCAGATACAGCAGCACTAGGTCACAAAAGAAAGCTCCCTGCAGAGAGAAAGAATTTGTGGTTTATCTTTAGAGTAGAAGAGGAAATGTTCTGGTCTAATGAGCATTAAGGCATAACTGATAGGAGCTTTATTTTCCTTCATAGGCTGTGCAATCCTCAGGGTATTTAGACCACACAGTACATTAACAAATGCTGTTAAGACAGGACACAGACACACACCTGGCTGAGCAGTCAGAGCAGCAAAAACTACCAGAGAAGATCTAAAGCAACTGTCCTATTTTATCCTCGTAACAGTTAAATGAGGGATCTGGGTCCCAGTATGTTACTTTTAAGGAAATACATTCACTTACCGCTCCCATGAGAGCAAGCCCCGAACCAATATTGATAATAGTGGGAATGATGTTAAATTTGCCTGCCTAAAAGAGAAAAGGTCATGAAACACTCAGTGAAAGAACAACCCAAGAGACAAACTGAAGGGGGTGGTGTCACACAGAGGAAGCTACCGGTGCCCGTGGGTGTTTTGTTAGCAATAAGCATGTACAACCCTAGATTTGCAGTGGACAATCTTGGACACTAAAGGTCTGTGTGTGTCTCAGATCCAGCTGCCCATGGCTGCATTTCTGAGCTTGCCTCATCCCTGGATTAAGCTGCTTTTTCCCCCAGTACATGCATGTGGGGAGCAAGTCTCTGGGGCACATTTTCTTCTGTGGGACTTTACTGTGCGGACTCATCCACCTTCTCCTTTCATTATGCAGGGTTAGCTCCACATAGGTACATGGCAAGAGCCCTTTCCTATGACAAGCCAGAAGCTGTTCTCATCCCAGAGCTGCCTTCCCACTGAGAAACGTCCCTCACCCTTTCTCTTGGCAGGCTCTGAAATATTCCGGCCTGGGACCTCACCTTGCCATTCACCATCACATCAAAGCGGATTCCATATGCTTTAATGAGCGTCCGGTAGTCGACCCCCTCAGCATCCCGGTAATATTTGGCAAACCTGGAATACAACAGTGCTGATTTTAACTCTGTCATCTGTCACACACACACAAAAAAAACCCCACCATCTGAATTCACCTCTCTCTTCAAACAGGTCTATTCCCCTATCAAAAACAGTTTAGCTTGCCATGAGCCTAACTCCCTCCCTCCCCTCCTCTGCAAAGCAGTGTGCTTGGCTGGAGCAGCAGCTGGCACAGGCTGGTCCTGTCTCACTGCCAGCCTCCAACACCAGCATCTCAAACCAGCTCAGCCCAGCTGTGGTGCTGCATCGTATCCTCCTCTGTACTCACCTGAAGTTATACCCAGAAGAGATGGGCTTTTCTGCAAACTTGTTATCCAGACGGCTAAAAGAATAGTGAGGATTACATTCAGAAGGGGCTTTATCAAGATCACAGTTCCATTCAATCTGAATTCCTATCACACCACCCTTAACAAAAGAGAGAGACAGTGTGAGTTTAAGTTTAGTTCAATTAATGTGTCTTTAAATTTGTCAGCTCCTTGGGCAAGATTTCCCCTGGGACAAGAACGATTGCACTTCTGGTCACGGACACGTGTACACACACATCTGGATGGGCTGAGTTCATGCTTATGATATTAATCACACTACTGAATGTACAACCCTAGTGCTGCAATCCTGGGAAGAGGTTTCTCCTCCCAGGACACTGATTTCACTAATTTAAGCAGCTGTACCATAGCTCT